TAGATTAGGTACATGGTCCATTTAATTTGCCCCCAAAATACCTAGATACCCAAGAACTAAATGTATTGATGCTTTTTAGTGGGTCCTTTTAAAATGTCAAAATGGAAACATTCATTATAAAACTCTAGTCCTTTAATGTTTCAGAGCATTCAAGGAAATTTTAAACTACAATAATATGCTTCTAAATTTATATTCTAACTGATATGTTCTAAATTAATACCTAGATGCCTTGCTTAATTGAATTATGTCATCAAAGTAATCTATTTTAAAGCCTATCACCAGTAACTTTATTATCTACCCTATCCAAAGACCTTTAAAAATACTTAAGCCTCTTGTCTTTTAAAAAGTTTGCTGTTTACATTTGTTTTGAAGAGCTAATGTAACTCATCTCTATTTCAAGAATCTATTCATAATGTCATCCCATGAAGTGGATGCTGTCAGGATAAGAATTGATGTCATAAGTATTACTAAAATAAATAATGTAAAGTGTGTGAGTCCAGCCACTAAACACTATATTTTAGTAGCTGGTGCACAGTGTTCAGAGAAAAATGGATGTGCCTCTCACATCTTTGTTGTGCTCATTGTATTATTTCTTTTACCTCAAACATTATTTATACAGCAGCAATACATATAAAATAAGTAAGTACTTATCTGCTCTAGTATATGGATAAACATAAAAAGACCTCTGTGTCCACACCAGCCACCCCCTGCCCCAAGTTAGCCAGAATCAGCCTACGTGATTAATTGCTTACTGTAGACCAGGTTAAAAAAAAGTCTTCATAAGCTTAGAGAAATCCTCATTCTAGAAAGGGGCTATGAAATTTTGATCCTAGGCAAGCTTTCTTCTGAGTCAAATATTAAGTATTGAGCGAAGAAAAACATAGTGGATAAGCAAAGGTACCCTTCAGAATTAATTTGTGTTAGGAATGAAACTGTCTCCAACTCCAGTTTTAACTTGAAAGGCTTTCAACCCTTGATAATTCTCTTTGCCTAGCCATTATACGAGTTTCTTCTATACCTGTCCTATGATAGGAGAGAAATTTGAGTTCCAAGTATATCTTTTTATATGAATATGTACAAGTAATTTACAAATGACTAAATTACAATGGAAGATGTGCTTACACTATTTGAAAATACCATGGTACATATGTAAAGGACTTGAGCACCTTTAAATCTTGTTAGCTGTGAGGTTAGAAAAAGGTACTAAAATCATTCTCCATAGATACACAGGAAATATTGTTTGTAATTTAATCATTTAGGAAGTATGATGACTACATGTATTTGATGAGATTATGGTAGTTTAAATGGCCATTGTGACTGTTTTATTCATCCTGGAAATTCTTGAGGGCAACTTTTGTCATTTGTCAATTTAATGACAAGCCATCACAACACAACAGTTCCCCCATTAGTTGTGGAATATACAACAAAATCTAAAGACTAGGCAAGTACACATTCAGTCATTATATTTTTTATTTTCTTGTCATGAAACAGAATCTACCTCAATGTTTTCTCCTAAAGCTAATACAGTCCATTCTATGTTTTACTACAGTTTCCTTTCATTGCATATATGTAGAGTACTCACACAAATTTACCAAGTTTTCCAAACTGAATGATTAAATGGGGAAATATTTGACTACAAATTTGAATGTAAAAGTTGAAGTAATTCAGAAATATATTTGTACAACACCAATAGTTAAATGGTGTTAAATGAAAATAGTTTCCTTACCATACAGTGTAAGACATCACTATAAGAAGCTACTGCACATTTCCTTTATTTAACTGGATGGCTATGGAATATCTTATTGGTTCCTCTCCTAGAACATGTCTCTCACTTCTTCTATATGAAGAGTGTGCTGATTCTGCCGGGTCTGCCAGGTGATGAGAGGAAAGGTGAGCTGAGACACTATACTTGGCAAGACTATAATTGCTGTGTAATTTTGACCCGGTGTTAGTGATTAGTTGAGTACAGATATGTGAATCACAAATACATGATGAAACATGACATTTTTTTTTCCAAAAAAACCCCATTTTAATATGTTCTGCAAATTTTAAAATGAATTCAATAAGATTATCTACAAGAATTCAATTTGTTGCCTTTGGTCACAGTTTGGCTGAATTCTGAAGGCAAACTAAATCACAGTGCATTTGATTAGTTAACAAAGACTACTTTTTAAAAGAGATTTATTTATTTATTTTTATGTATGTGAGTACACTGTTGCTCTCTTCAGACACACCAGAAGAGGGCATCAGATCCCATTATGGATGGCTGTGAGCCACCATGTGGTTGCTGGGAATTGGACTCAGGATGTCTGGAAGGGCAGTCAGTGCTCTTAACTGCTAAACCATCTCTCCAGCCCCAATAAAGACTACTTTTAAAATGCCAAGTCCAATCCACAGATACATGGCTGAATGTATCTATTCAGATGATATATGTGTTAAGGAGATGTTGATTTTTGCCGCAACTCTATTTTCCATTTACTGTATATTTTTCACTACAATTTTCTTTTCAAGTCTTTCTGTTCCCTCTTTCAGAACATTAGGATGCTACAGTTGATCCTGCTGGGTTCCAATCATAGATTGAATACGAATAGCCAGCATGATTCTACTGGCTATTTTGGAGATGTACAAATGAGTGTTCAGCTAAGTCTTAGGTAGTCATACCTGAAGTTCTTTGTATGCCAGTATTTAAAACCAGAGTGTCTGGTAGCCATCTTGGCTCATGCAGGAGACTCAGCATAGAGAGAAGTGTAGCTACAAGAAAGTGAGATTTCCAATGGAAGGAAAACTGAGGAGATAACCATCCTAAAGGCTCAACTGTGTAAATCAGTAAGTTCACCTGGATAGAATTTCTATCATAAAACCAAGGAATTCTGCTCACCATATTCAAGAATCTATTTCGCATGTAGAATTGTATAATTCTAATTCAATATCTAAATTATGTAGACCCTACAGATTTGTTCCAGAGAAATATTCCATTAATACATAATTATTTAATGATAATGACATTACTAACAATAACCAGTATATCTAGTTCTCAGCACACATAATTTGTTTCAGCTACTTAGGTGATTTTCAGATGAGTTCAGTATACTTTAGTTTCAATCAGGTATCATAGGATCCCACAGAGACAGAAGGGGCAATCACTGAGCTAATATGGATCTGTACTATGTCTTTTGCATACATGCTGCAGTTGTTCAGTTTGGAGTTCTTATGCCAACTCCTAACAGTGGGAGTGAGGAGTACTCCTGACTCTTTTGCCTGCTCTTGGGATCCTTTTTCTCCTACTGGATTTCTTCTTCCATTCCTGACATGAGTTTTTGCCTAGACTTTTTAATGACTTCTTTTGCTCCTTATCTGGCACTTATTCAACCCATTGTTAGTATAAATTTCAACCCAGTCCTGTGTGAAAACAAGAGAGTTAAAATTCTGAAAAATGATTAGCCTTTAAAGCATATATTCAAGTAACTTTAAATGGCTCATTAGGCTATATTTAGGAATATGTGTATATACATAAGTACATTCATATATAGGCAGAAATAAGCAATAACAGTTAATGAAAAGAGAGCACATAATTTTGAAATATAATGGAGAGGATTTTATGGAATGTTTTGGAGAGAGGAAAGGGAAGGGGGGAAAGTTGTAATTGAATTACAATCTCAAAAATAAACTAAAAGTAAAAAGAAAGAAATTCACAGATTTTCAAGAATCTATTTTCCCACTGCTTCCTCAAAGCTAAGTGGAAGACTACATCAGATCTTCTCTGAATATTTTTTTCTGTATTAGTGCTTTATTCTAGTTTTCCTGAAAATGTTTTGAATTTTATTTTGAATTTAATTACTTTATCCAAAGTGTGTTGTCTGACTGAAGCAGACCCTTAGCCTTGTCTCATCAGTACATAAGGAACGACAAGTGCCGTAGATCTGAGTCAGCTAGGCCCCAAAGCGCTGCTTTCTCATCGTGCTTTCTCAACATTGATAGCATCTTAGAGAATCTGTATTTTCTGCTAACTCTTTTGTGCATTCCAGGAGATATTTTTTTTTTTTTACATTTAGTAGACTAGTTGTAGATGCTCTGCACACCCTAAAATGGAACTGTGTAAAACTACGGCGCTGCACGGAACAGAAACAGCCTCCATTTCGTTGAGGCAGAGCCATTATTTTTAGAGCAACCGTGACATCCTCAAAATTCCCAACTCTGAGATTCACATTTTACTTTGGAAAAAGGACCAATTCGATGATCTTTCTATCTTACAATTGTACCTTGTAGTTTATCTGCTATTAATTTAGATAACATCGCTTTTATCTACCTTTTTAGACTTCTATACTTTTATGGAAAATATATTATAAACAAGTCCACAAAACAAGGAAAAATAGTTGAGATATTTATCATTTTTCTCCATTTACAGTCCATTTTCATGCTTTTTGCTACTTTTGCCTTCTTTGGAACACAGCCAGTATAGGTAATGTTAATTAATTATAATATAAACTGTACCTGTTAGCACACTTACATTTAAATTTCCCCTAGTTCAGTTATTATGTACATCTTAGGAAGGAAAATAGGAAAAACTACAACTTTGCAGTGCAAATTTTCCAAACTCAATTTTCAAGATATTGTTTAAATATCTTAAATAATATATGAAGTATCTTAAATATATGAAGTATCTTGAAATTGATAGAAAAACATTTTTTTCTGACTTTTGAAGTCTTTATTTCAAAATATTACAAAACTATGGTAAGTAATACTTTATCATTTAGATTTGGTGAAAATACATTTGATATATATGGTATACAACGCCAGTTTAATACAACTAACTTATTTACATTTAATACGCTTGAGGAAATTAACTTACCTGTTTATTAAAATGCATCATGTCCCCCCAAACTGAAAGCAATTATGAAGAAAAATAGAGCATAGTCACAAGGGAAGAGTTTATCTTAATTAAGAAAAAAATACTTGTATTACTTATTATCAGATACTATCTTAAAATAGATGCTACCTACCGCTGTATTTGCAAAGGTCTCTTCATAAAATGCCAGCATTACTACAAACTGGAGGACAGTGTATATCTTCAAGAGCTGAGATGCTCCTGACGAGAAGGGGACTTCCTCTCCTGTAACCTAGGAAGACAAGAAAGACAGTTTCCTTTACTCAATTCCATAGCTCATCTCTCTTCATAAAATTCACACTGTGAGAAAGATGAGTCAAAGCAACATGATTTTGTCAGTTTCTCTTTCCAGTCATTTTGTCATAATGACTAAGACTATGTCATAAGACTAGACCTGATTTCCAAAGGTCTTTCCATCTCTCAGGTTCTAGGTCTCTGCATGGAGGATAAACATACCAAAGGAAGTTCTTGCTGTAGGTTTAAATGATTCTGAAACTAGTTTCAATTGTTCTACTTCCTAAATTGTACTTCCTGTAATTAACCAATGCCCACCTAGTAGGCAATGCCCCTCTTAATCTGCCTTCTGCCTTCATGGTGGTGTTCTCTCAGTAAGCTATCCATATACATCACCCTAGGTAATAGCATTTTATAGTTTCACATGAATATAGCACATGGAGAGGCAAACTAGCCACACATCTCACATATCTAGCCTTACCACCTCTTATCCTATATACGATACTTACCTCTGGAATTTCTTCACTCAGGCCAAGTCTTGGTTTGCCTGGACCCCATCCTGGTCCTTTAAATAGGACAGAAAACTTATGGCAGAATCCAGGTGTGGCCCAGAATGTAGTCCATATATAGAGTAAATGGTGAAACTTGAAAAAAAATAGTTAATTCAAATTAAGACAAACATAAAAAGAATTAAAATAGCTAATTATATACCCTATTAGTATATTCAGTGTAATTTACATATTCTCAGTAATAGACATATGAGAAGATAATATATTGATATATTATCATACTCTGTATTTTAGTTAATTCTATACATCCTGTATTTCATTGATCTGTTCTCATCAATGTCTTCAAAATTGAATGAAATTATAAGTTTGAAATGAAAAGAATATAATTGGTTACAAGTCATCAAGGTAGTGTAAACAAGCTGTGAGGCTGCTTCAAAAAAATTAACTAGCAGTCTATGAAAGTAATAACCATGTCTACTGACTCCGTTTCTGACATTGCTGTATGGATATTACAGTTGAACATGGAGCCAGCACAAGAATGATTATCAGTTCAAATATTTTTAAAACAGTAATTTATTAAGTTAATAACATGATCTTAACAAAATATATTCACAAACATTTCAGATTATAGAGGTCCAAGTACTAAATTACTCACTCTATCACAAGAAAGGAAAAATGTGATGCCTGACAGAGACCTTTACATTGAAAGTTCTAGCAGGAATACTCATTCTTTAAATAGCATTTACTTGATACCCAGAAGTTAAAAACATACCCACACATAAGTGCTCAATAAATTTTAACTATAAGAACATTTCACGCAGGCACCATAGGATTGGATATATTCCTAGGGTTTGGGCATCAGCTCCAGACTCTAAATGTGAGATTTTTTTTTTTAAAGTACAGAAATGCATTAATGGAGTGAAAAACATTTGCTCTCAGAATTTGTGGTCTTGCTGATATTTTAGCAGTCCCTGGGTGAATTTAAATTGTTAAGATTAGAAAAATGGATTTTATGATTGCTTGAACTATTCCAAAAATCAAAATGAGGACTCAGTGGAGAAGTTTCTGAAGATGAGGCAGATGTTAAAAGGAAGCTTAGCCTGGGGATTTTCACTACTGGTAAGACAGAAGATTGGTACGTTTAGAACTTCCAACACACATTAAAATACTGAATCATTTGGTTATTTTGAAAATGTACTTCAATTTTATTTGTACACATCTAGATACTACCCATGAACAATATATCACAATAGCATAAAGACATTTCCCTGACTTACTTAGTTACTAATCCCCTGAAACATGGATCTTCTAAAGAGAACAGAGTGAGTATTCTATATGTAACAATAGCAGCCATAGCCTTGTATGTACTAGAGCAAATTCTAGGTTCCTTTAGGATCCTATATAAGCAATTTAGCTTCATACAAAGGGATGTCACGAAAAGTAAATAAATAATTTAGCTTCACGCAAAGAGATGTCAGTGAAAGTAAATACTTTGTGTGTTAAAATTTCTTAACTATCATAATTTGCCAACTTGGCATTTCTCAGTAAAATGAGCACATAGGAACATAAACCATAGTCCCACAGGTGACAACTACTATGGTGAAGAAAACGTTTTTGAAGGTAGATACCTAGAGGCTTAATACTTGCCTTAAATGAGCAGTAGCTAAAGAATGCCTGCCATTGTCTCATGCTGAAACTTAGTGAATCCCCAGTCATTCATTTGCCTATGCATATGTAGTGCTTACAATATCCACTCATTGATCTTTTTTTCTGGTATGAACACAGTATCCTCAAAAATTAAACAAACAAAACCAATATATTCCTCAAAGACTTTCTCCTCAAAGTGTTATGAATTCATCAATAACATTAACATCACCTATAATCTATTCCAAACTAAGTCCACGTCCTGCTGAACCAAATCTGTGCTTCACAAAGATGATCATATGAGTCACTTTGGCATCAGGTTTGTAAAGCTCTTCCTGGAGAAATGAAGCAGGATTTTACATTTTTCTCTATTTATTCATATTAAGGAGAAAATGTACATGGAAGCAAACGGGGGGCTTTCCTGTAAATTTTCTAATTTGGTTTCAATTTAAGACAGCTGGTTGTCAATATCCTAATGTATTTATTTTGTCTCCCAAGAAACGTCCCCTGATCTGAGTACAGACTGCCTGGGTTAAGATGGAAGGAGTACTATGTAGTACAAAAGTTCAAGAAGATAAACATCAGCATTTTGCTTTTCAGTTGTGGATACACAGAAATGGCTTTCAATAGAGGACGGAGAGCAATTGACCACAGCTGGTGTGTGAAGCCAGAGTAAAGCAAGGAGGTTGTAAATGAGTTAATGTGTCTGGGTCTTGGTTTGCTAGGTTAGATTAGCAGCTGACAATTAAACTTGGAATTATGTAAGTGCTCTGAACCTGTGTTTCCTGTGTTAGAAAATAGAAATAAAAGAGACACTGATTCATAAGTTATTACTGATGGTGAAGGAACCGTTTTGTGTTTGCGGGTACTTGACTTAGCAGAGGTTCAATAGGTGATGATCTTCCTTTGGTCTCAATGCTCTGTGCAAACTTAAATAGGTTTGCAAAACACGCCCAACAGGAGCCTGTAATGTGTTACTTCCGGGGTGTCACAACCAATCCAGTGCACAGAGTTGTCACAGGATGACCATCACAGCTTGTAGAACACTGTTACCTTTTGTGATTTCTTAACCCCAGGAGCCTTTGGGGCAGTCTGATGCTGACTTGTCAGAACTTGGCAGATATTCTTCATTTCTTTAGTGCCAACCACTAAGGCCAGCAAGCAAGCAATACCACATGTGTAACAGAAAATTGGTCTGCTCTTAGCAGGAGAGGTAATATGTGGACCTAACTGATGTATAATGCTCCTTGACACCCAGTTCTAAGATGAGAACGGCAAAGGCCTCATGTTGAATTTCTAACCAGAGTTTGAAGGCTGAAAGCAAATATTTTTCATACTAGGGGTTCAGCCTTAATTATATGTCTTACCACTACTCCTGAATAAATGAATATATTTCAGGTCTATTCTGAGAAAGAACATGTTTGCTAGAGAGGCACTTTTGCTGCATTTGAAGTATTAGACACATTTGAAAATTCTCATAATAAGTTTTAACGGATTTTACCAATCTGCCTCAAGTTGTCACTTAACCACTAAGTTGTTTTCAAATTCATTTGTATGTAAAAACATTTTACACAGCAATGTGAAGTGCTTCCACGTACAATGGCCATTTCCCATTTAAATATTCTATTTGTGAAACTATATGCATTCAGAAATATCAAGGCTGAATGAATTACCTGCACTTTGAATGGCTCAAATGTTCCAATGGGATGGGTTAGACCATATATGACCTGGTCATTCTCTGCTTCGAATGTCCCTGGAAGACAAACATATGATATGTTTATCATATGCTTAAAATATGATGACTGACTTTCCATCATTTCCAAAGCAGCTAATTAACTATTATGATGCTTGTACGCTTTACTTACCAAATATTCTATCCCAAATAATAAGAGTGCCAGCATAGTTTTTATCTATGCAGTAACGATTTCTGCCTGCGAGACAAAACAGTAGAAGTAAATTTTTTAAATAGATAAAATTGAGCTTTTGAAATATCTGTTTTTCTTGTTTTAGAATGTGCAAGAAGAATCCCAGCAATAAAATGGTTTTAAGAGTATCTTCTTCTCCTCAACCTAAGTAACTGAGGAAAGTTGAGAGGGAAAAGGTGGACTCTCCCAGGGAAGATCACAACAACTGGTTATTTAATATTAAAGAGCCAACTCTGAAGATGTACATATACGTAGTTTTGTACAGGGATGAACAAGTCAAATTTGAGATTGTGTGTGTCTGTGTGTGTATGTATCAATTATATACACAAGCAATAACAATTAGTGAGAAAAGGGACCCTGAATATGAAATAAAATGGGGAGGGATATGTGTGAGGGCTTAGAGGAGGAAAAAGGAAATGTACATATTTTAATTATATTATGATCACAAAAATTAAAAAAATTGTACCACTGACAATGACAAAACTTATTTATGAGCTGTAGTTTCATTTTAATTATTTTGTAATTATTTTTATTAAAGAGATCATTTTTTAAACATATGCTCATTTTCCCAATGTTTTAGCTAAATAGCTACATATAGTCACATAACTAGTTTCATGAAAACTACTAAGAAATAATTAATTATCACATTGTTCAGCTGAAGTAAAAAGGGAGTAAGATGGTAATAAGTGTATTTGGGGCCCGGAGCAATGGTTGCACTGCTGCTAAGAGCACTGGCTGCTTGTACAGTCCTGAGATTCAATCCGCAGCACCCATAGTGTCTCATGACAGCAAGTGCCATTCGAGGACATCTGATACATGCTTCTGGCCTCAGAGGGGAGTGCAGACATGTGGTATACAGGTACACATGCAGGCGAAAGTACTCATATACACAAAATTATAACAAAATAAATTTTAAAAGGAAATATATATATATTAGGTTTTATTTTATGATGCTATGTATTTTATTTATTTTCTTTGCTGTTGTATCATAAAGAAAATTAGAGTAGTATTTGACCATTTTAATAATAAAAGACATATTTAAAAATTAAACTACACTTGGAATGAGAACTTTTAGCAATATGTTAATTTCACAGCTCCAAAATATCTAAATTACAATTTAAACTTAATGTAACTGGCAACTTTTCTTAAATTTTGTATTTTTAAAACTTAGATATCCATAATGACACAAACTTTGATACAACTGAAGGGAAGAGTTTTAATCTACTAAGCCATGTGTCTGTATTCATGGACTCACTTTCTGTGCATGCATGTATTCAGTTGATTCATAAATAAAGCAAATTCCCTGCAAACAGAGTAGAAAGTTCATAAACATGGCTCTCCACTAGGTAAGAAAGTGATTTTCCCCTAAAGAGATGAGTGGTAATATCTGAAGACATGACAGTAATTACAATCAGAAGAGTGTACAGAAGGCATCAACTGGACATAGATCAGGGACTCTGCTAAGCTCACTACAGTGCCCAGGTCAGCTTTCACCACAAAGTGTGATGCTAAGCATGTCTGACTGAAGTCTGGGGAAGTGGAAAACTGAGGTAAAGAAGAAACTCCCAGCTGTTTGTTTTTTACAGTGTGGATTCCTCTTTGCAGATTTTCCTGTTTATGTAGAGGAATCCATAAGAATCTTACACTCCTTTGCTAACTGCTCCCAGGAGAGGGGATAGGACTGAGGTTGAAAGAGCTTGTCCCATCTTCTTTGATGGTGCTGTTGCCCCCAGCAGGAGAAAGGGTGCATTTCCCTTGGGAAAGACCATACTGTAGTGTTCTAATACTACCTGTGAAGGCAGGGACTAAGAGGAACAGAAGGTCACCATTCACTGCTTTGTCCAGTGCCCCCAGCATTATGCCCCTAAGATTTATTCATGCAGTGTATATGGAAGTGGCTTGGATAATCTTGCTGTTGCCTGGGTCTCATTACTTGAAAAGTCTATTTTGTACTCATGTATGCTAGAGCTCATACAAATTCCAAGTTCTCTTTTATTTTTCCATTAGAAATAATGCATGTTCTTAATTATTCTTGTGCTGCCCAAATAAAATGCATTTTGATTTTAACTAAACATGGTGTCTTTATGCCTTGGTACTAGTCACATGGAATCTTTTCTATCCAGCCAGTGCAGCTCATGCTGAGATCCTTACTGAAGTGAGACAGGAGAGGGAAGTGTTGGTTACTAGATTCTTTTCAAATTATATATATATATATAACCTTGTATTTTTTTCTAATAAGGTAATTGGCTTCTTATGGTTCATTTCCTGTAGTGTACATGTTTAAAAAGTAAAATTCCTTTAAAAATCACAATAGTTTTCAATACTAGCAATTTCAGTGTGGACAGGGCAGATGCTTAGCACTGTGTTGGAGTACCCCACAGAGGGCTCCTGTAAGCTCCTCTCTAGCTATTTGGCACTCTTCTCAACCACAATTAGAAAAGATGGAAAGAAGTTGAGAATGTCAGGTCTACTGGTCCATGCCTTCAAGCTGAGGCTTCTCTGAATATAAAAGGAGAAGCAGTACTTATTTATATAGTGTCCTGTAATAGTGTAAGGTGTGTTTTTATTACTAAAGTAGCACAAATGTAACACTATTTTAATTAAAAATGAAGAAGAAGCAACAGAACTGCCTTACCATGATGAACTCTGTGATGACTAGGAGTGTTGAGGACCAGTTCCAAAGGGCCAAGGCTTCTGATGACCTGCTCATAGCAAAAGAGATAATCACACACATAGTTAACAATGAATATGTATCTGCGTTGCACAAATCTATGAAAATCACACATGGGTCTAAGATACAAACAGTTTCAAAATCCTTCTGTGACATCACAAAAAGTCAGTGACTACCCAACTGCATTCATACATATGGTATGGCAGTACCAGACTTGTCTGACTATTCATAGTCCCAGGCTTTGTTGTGTCATCCTAGGAAAATAAGCTCTTTGTAACCCAATGTCCTCATCTCTAAAACAAAAGTAGTGACAGCGCTATAAAATAATGCAACTCTAGATTTCTAAATATGATGGCTTCTTACATCCTTTATGGTTAAGGGGGAAGCAGCCACTATCAATGGTGACATTGATGAACTGGCAACATATCAGCGGTACAGGGAAAGAAAGGGGTGGTGGACTTAAGAGCTTGAACTGCTTAATACAGGCACAGCACATGTAATATGAGCATATTATTTGGATACTTATTTGAAACAATCAATCATAGTTAATCAGGTAGGGAATGAGAAGAGTAGAAGAAAACATTTTATTTAGAGTGATGATGGCATTAGCAGTGGACATGAAAATGCAATTCTGTCATAGTATAACTGGTAAGATCTACAATTTGTTTGAAAACACTTTGAGAATAAGAATAGAAAGAAAAAGCTAAAATGACAGAAATGAATTGACATCTCTGAGTTTAATCTAAGCAGACAACACAAATATACAGCTCCTGCTTTTCTGAATTCTTGGCAGAGAAGGGTAAAAATGTACAAAAATGAGTTTACAATCTATCAATATATGACAGTGCTTATTAAGCCAATTGAAAGCATTAACAGAGGTTCACGCTCAGAAATACACTTCTATTTATTCATGTATTTAAATTTTAATTATGCGATTCATGTATGTCTTATTATGATTTGTGCATCTAAGTGTCGTGTCTGAGGAAGTCACAAGAGGGCTTTGATCTGATAGAACTGTGCTGACGGAAGTTCTGATCCATCAGACCTGGGTAGGGGAAGCAAATTCAGGTTTCTGTGATACGGTACATGTTCTTAACCACTGAATCATCTTTCCAGACCCAGAAATGCACCTCTTAATGGAAATTCTTCCTTCATGAGGATGTGAATGTTTTGCTTTATTTTATTAATCTTTACTATTTAAATAACCAGTTTGTTGTTGTTGTTGTTTAGATATTGTTCTCAACCTGTAGTTTCACATATTCTCCTGAAATTGAAGCTATAATCTCATTGACAAATAGCAACCTGTATGTCTCTAACACAGTCATTCACATCCTCTCCCTATTGTTCACTTTTTATAGGCCTGGAAGGTAGCTTCCATTTTCTTAGGGTTTCTTGGTTTCTGTCTGAAATGGACAGTTGTCTGAATGCAAAAGAATGTGAATTGTTACATACCGTATGTTAATTTAGATTTTTTTCCATTGTTCCATCCTTTTCCTTGTTCCTTCTTTGCTATGTCCCTGCTCTCCATGAAAATATTAGACACCGAAACTGTTTTATGTGGTGATGTAAGAGTGCTGTCAGTCACTGGGTATGAATGGAGTTAGGACAGTGCTGTAGTCACTGGGTATCCATGGGGTTCCAATGGTGCTACCATTGGGTATAAAAACCCACTTGATATTTTACATGTATGTTACTGAGAATGGTGACACAAATGCTTGAGTCCTGCCTGCCCCTCTTCTTCCTCTTGCTCTTCATCCTCTTCTTCCTTTCTCATCTCCTCCATACCTCTTTCCTTTTAACCTTTCTCCCTCTCCATTTTCCTTTCTTCCATCTGTCCTACCCATCCATCTGTCTTTCTATCTCTTTTTATATATCTGGCCTAGGGCCAGGGAGGCCCTATCCATCCATTTTCAGTTATTTCCAGAAAAATGTATTTTAACACAACCGCATTTTCCCTATCAGAACGTAACTAATATATACGTCAGACTGTTTCATTTCAGCACCTTCAAGTAGTTTGACTCTATGCCTTAGATTTGTTAAAATATAGTCCTGTGAAGAAAAGCTGAGACTAACGTCTCACAAATAGTGTTAATCACTGGGGATTGAGAAAGAGTGCTGTGTTTTATAACTTACAACCTATCACTACATCATTCTCTACTGGTGGAAAACTTTGTGTGCAGATAGGAGGATGCGAGAGTGGGCTCCTCAGGACCTTACAAACGGATGCTTTTGGTCCGGCTTTTGTTTCTGCCAGAGAACCAGATGGGAAATGAGTAAGCCATTTACCCCTGTTTGTCTCTTTGGTGCCTAACATTTGCTAAGAAAACAAACAAAGAGAAGGGTGGAGGGGCTACACAGAGCAGCTTCTGCTGCCCAGATGCTTTCCTGAGCTTGGGTTCTGGCATGTGTGCAGCCGGATCCGAAGCCACACCAGGGGCGAGCGCCTTCAGATGACTGGAGTCTTGGCCGAGCGGCGTGATTTTGATTTTTAGGTTTTACTGTTTTTTTAATGTCAAGATTTTTACCTTAGGGAAACGTTTTGTTCCTTTAGGCTAAAACACAGTGATATCAATATTGAAAGCTCCTTTTTAAGTTCTTAGGTAAAAGCCAACTCCAACACAGTCAACCACAGTTAAATTTCCTGGTTCTGAGCCTATGAGTTCTGTGGAGCTGAGGGAGACCACCACAGGGCAGATGATTCATCATTCAGACAACCCGATCAGAAGCTCTCTTGTAGAAAATCCTCTGATTCATGGAGAAGTCATTAATATTTAGTAAGAGCCGAGCGTAAGCGTAACGGTTTAATTATCGCCCACTTTTGCAAATTCAGCCATTTAGCAATTCAAGCACATCTAGCTAGGGCTCACTTCCTGAAAACATGTTAATTACTCTGGGAATAATCGGACCCACTCTAATTGTTCAAAAACGTTGTCTTAATTTATTAGATTTAAATGAACTACTTGAAAATACAGAATTTAACAACAGCAGGTCTCAAATATAGTATAATTCCATATCCTATCATGAAAAAAAACTAAACTGTGAAGTTATGGGGGCTAAATCGCTACTCTACATATTAAACGCTTATGATAAGCCTTGAACTCTTTCTAACGTCACCTGAAAGATGTTTCTATTTTTCTATCTTATCCCTTTTAAATACGTATAAAATGATTTTTCGTCAAATAAAATGAATCAAATCTGAATTGCTCTAATAGCAATTGACAGCTAAGCTCTTGACTACACACGAGTGGAAACAATTTGGCTTATTTGCGAAGGTCTCTGCATCTTTGCTGCCTCATGGGTTTTGTGCCACTGGTTCTTATTAGGCCACTGAAGCGATGTAGTCAGTCCCGTAATATTTTGCTTTTGGGCTTTATAATCTGAGCAACATGGGTGCCTGGGAAGGCCATGGAAAAGCTTCAGAAGGTCGGAAGTACTTTGAAGTTTTATATCAAAATTTATGATTACTTTCTGGGGAGGAAATATTGCTTCATAATATTCTGAAAAGTAAATACAAATTTTCAAAGATTAATAACTAATAGCGCACATCTAAGCAGGGATGCCCGTAGGTTTCTTCCTACACTAATCCTGTTTGTATTGTGATGTTAGTTCCTACATCATCAAAACTTGCATGTCAACTTGTATTCAAGATTGCAAAACAAAAAATTTAAACATTTTTTGCTCGTTGTTGAAATCATTAACTCTTCTACCAAGGTTGTTACTTAGGCTGTTTTCCTTGGCAGGATAAGAAATCATAAATGTTCAATAAAAGTTCAGATTTTGCGATACTGAGTTCTGTGATAAATTATATCAGACGTTGTCCATCAGAAATGCTGTGGGACAATTGTTGAACTAGTCAACGGTTCCTTATTTCTCATTCTACAGTCCCTATTACGACTGGTGGAGAGTCTTTTATATAAAAACAAGTGAACGAGAACCAGGTGATGCAGTCATTATCCCTGTATGGCCTTTCCTTTTATTAAAAACACATTTCAAGTACTTAATTATTTTTTCTTTTGAGTTCTAAGAAAATCAAAGAAAAAAATCAAAAGCCACATACATGATAGGTACACGCTGATAGAGCCACACTCATAGCATACATCATCAGAAATAAAATGGCGCCAAGGGCCAACACCCATCAAAAGACCTCTGTCAGATTCGAGATAATCTCAGTTCACATTGTGAGTAAGCTATCTTGGGAGGCATTTCCATTGTTGGCTCTGATTATTCACTTTAATCTACCTCTCCTGTTGGCCTGGTGGACTCCTGCCTTTCCTGAACATCTACCTGAATACCACATTCTCTACACAAACTACTGATTTTTCAACGTCGGAAGCATATTGTGAAATCATTAATTCTTGTGTCCCCTTGTTGTGTGTCCACGTTACTCAGATTCATCCCTATATTGTACATTTAGTAAGAATGCCTTACGTTTCTTGTTTCTTACAGCATGTACAAAGCTTCACAAATACCACGACTAGTCAGCAAGATAGAATTTATAAAATCAATATGCCTTCCTATTCTTACACTCTTTATGCCTTCATGGGGATGGTTTGCTTACCCTGGTGAAAACGTTTTATTTATCACAACTGCAGGAAGTAGTAGATGATTTAGTCCCAATAAGCGGTCTAATTTCACTAGGCAACTCACATGATAAAATTGAGTTAATATAGAACATACTTAGAGCTGAGGTTGAATATACTGCCAGATAGATCCAGATACCTTTCCTACAGGCCTTTGCAGGTCAAGGGAAGAACATCAAATGATGTGAGCATTCTACTTTAGAAATTGAAGGAGCAGTGTTTAAAGGGTTGGGCCTGGCCATTCTACAGCCAAAGAAGTAATAAACCAGCTAAGAACAATGGGATTGAAAGCCAGGAAAGTAAGATCAAGGATGGAAGAATGGGAGAATGAAGTTATGGGCAGATGGGTACATTTAATAATTTTTGAATTCTTATAGGTTTGTATGAGTTTCAGTTTCATTGAAAAAACACAAACACAGAAAAGAGAATTCCTGTGTCACCTGGAAATAAT